AAACCAGAAAATATTAAATAGACTTCCCTTCAGTCAATCATTCTAGTTGTTTCTAACCAGGAATACATGGTTTGAGCACCATACCCACTTTTCCTTTGCTAATATTCTGGGAAGTGGAGACAAATGTGGAATCACTACCACCTTAAGATAAACATTCTTGGTATCACCTTCATGTCACTTGCTTATAACAGGAGTTTGGTAAGATTACATTTTTAGAACGTTTTCAGAACTTGACCTGTATTCTTAATTATTCTGTAATGTAAATTCTACTAACTTGATTAATAAAACTTATTTATAATCTTCCTTTGAGATTTTTGGATAGTGTTCAATTAATACAAATTCGTTTAACTACAGTGGAAAACAAATACTTAAACTCTTAAGGTTTTTGCTGGATTCTGCAAACTCGTCTTTGTTTTCCCCGTGCCCGAACACTTAGTCAACAGGCAAATAATTATTTGTTGACTACAGAGGTACCTAGAAGCTTCATCTTCTTCTAAAGATACTGCTGGAAGCAGTAAATCCCAAAGTCCGAATAATCCAGTCTCCAGCCAAGGCATAGGGAATATTTAACAGGTGTATAAAAAGTAATTTTACTGTTACCCTGAATGAAATGCCTAACAGTGTTACAAAAAAACAAAACAAAAACCAACAAAACCCCAAACTCATAAACCTCGTCAAGTCGACTCACGGCATTTATATGTTCTATGTGCAAGGACTGGAGAACATTCAGCGAACACTTGATTTAACGCACATCCCAACTATTAGTAAACGAATCACGGTACACTTTAGAATCTTTAAACAACAAAAGCAAAGCAAAAACAATGTTTTCCTTAAGATATGCAAATTACCTGCTTCTTTAAAAAAAAAAAAAAAAAGTTCAGGAGAAAAGCAGGCAAACAAAAATCTTACTTGGAAAGCCAAATCTTAAAAAGAAGCCCTATCGGCGCAGCGACGAAAGGCGAAAACCTCAATGTCACCCGGTCCCGGGCGGCGACGGCAGGGAGAGGAGCTGCGACAATCACTGCGCTCGCGGCCAGCTGCGGCGCCTGACTCCGAGCTCCGCGGGCGTCCGGGTGGACAGAGCTAGGGGCACAGGGCTGACACCTCAGACCTAATTCCCTCCTCGAGCGCGAACATCCAGGCTTAAGCTGCCGCAGGGTGTGAGTCTCCCCTCCCCCCTCCAAACGCCGCAGATGTACGGGGCATAGCCGCCTTCGGGGACGTGCAGCCACACCCCATCCTGACGAGGCTGCTCTCGACCGCTACTGGAGTGGTGGGGAGGGTGACTGGACTCCAGGAATCCTCGGAAGGGCGGGGGCGGAGGCAGGGGGCCCCTCTAGCCGCGACTTCGAAACAGCACTCCTTGTTCTCGATGGTCCCCGCGCGACCGTCTTAGCGCACGACACTTCCGGTTCCTTTTAAAGGCCCTCCACGCTGCGCGACGCTGAGCGTGAGAGGAAGGTATAAAGGGGAGTGAGAGGGCCGGACCGAGGAGGAAGGGGAAAAAAACCTAGGGGAAGGGGGCGGTGGGGGAGGCGCGAAGGGCGCGCTCTCGCGTCACGTGACCGGGACGCGCCGTTCTTCCGTCGGCCATTTTAGGTGGTCCGCGGCGGCGCCATTAAAGCGAGGAGGAGGCAAGAGCGGCCGCCGCTGGTGCTTATTCTTTTTCAGTGCAGCGGAAGAGAGCGGGAGTGTGCGCCGCGCGAGAGTGGGAGGCGAAGGGGGCAGGCCAGGGAGAGGCGCAGGAGCCTTTGCAGCCACGCGCGCGCCTTCCCTGTCTTGTGTGCTTCGCGAGGGTAGACCGGGCGCGCGGCAGCGGCGGGGATTACTTTGCTGCTAGTTTCGGTTCGCGGCAGCGGCGGGTGTAGTCTCGGCGGCAGCGGCGGAGACACTAGCACTATGTCGGAGGAGCAGTTCGGCGGGGACGGGGCGGCGGCGGCGGCAACGGCGGCGGTAGGCGGCTTGGCGGGCGAGCAGGAGGGAGCCATGGTGGCGGCGGCACAGGGGGCAGCGGCGGCGGCGGGAAGCGGAGCCGGGACCGGAGGCGGAACCGCGTCTGGAGGCACCGAAGGGGGCAGCGCCGAGTCGGAGGGGGCGAAGATCGACGCCAGTAAGAACGAGGAAGATGAAGGGTGAGTAAGGGGCAGCCCAGGATAGTCAGGCCCAACTAGTCCCCCTCCCCCTCCTTATTCCCCCGCCATTAGGCCTGGTTCCCGCTCTCAGCCCATCCTCTGGGCCCCCATGCAGCTTTCTTCCACTGGTCTCCCCTTGTCTACGTTGGGTTTCCCGGACCTTCATTTATTTCCTCCTTGCTCTGCCTGCTTATCGCCCCCTCCCCCATCACACACGTTTCCACCTTTAGCCGTCACCATGCTGCTTCTTGGCCCGGCCTCCCTCCCTCGCCATGGGTCTCCTCCCACTGACTTAGCCGCCAGGATTTTTTCCCGCCTGTAGAGGGGTATCTTTTTTCTTTTCACGCTGTCCCCTCTTTTTTCCTTTTTCTAAAGTCTTGGGCATAAAAACGCAGATAGAGACAAAAAGCTTCCCTGTTTGTATTACTAAGGTTTATTTGGTGCTTCTCCACCATCCAGAGACGATGCGATTGTTTATAATCACGTTTTGGGGAACGCGTAGGCTGTCTACCTCTGCCTCTCCCGTGTCGGCTTCAGGCCGAATGTTTTCTTGGGATTTTGAGTAAGTTTCGCCTTAGGACTTTTCTCATTTTCTCCACCGTACGCTGTCGCACAATGGCATGCTCATATAGGCCCTACAATTTGACATGCAGACCAAATTGGGTCTGGTGAAATGGTCCGAGTTTCTTGTTGGTACGTTGGTTTTGCTCCGCGGGCTCTCGTTAAGTTCCTAGTCGATGGGGCCTGCACTTGACTGGAGCTGTTCCTATCTCCGGCCTAGTATCTACCCTTCCCCCACCCCACTGAGTTATTCTAACCGCGCACCCTTTCGCTCCCTCAGCTATTGGGTTCCCGAACTCTTAGTGCAGATTGTACTTCACTTTTTATGTGCAACTGAATTTTTTACAGCCCCCTTTTTTTTCGGTGCCCAGGATCCTATTTTGGTGTCTTGATTTCTGTTTCCCGCCCACTAAGGGAGGCCTATAGTCCTCTTTCTTAAGAGAAACAAATCCTGTTTTGTGTTGTGAGATACTTTCTTTTTTCCTTTTTGGTGCAGATTTCTTAGTATTAACTTGGCTCTTCTAATTGGAGTAACAGTTGTATATACGACCTAAATCTGCATTTAGTGCATTAACATGCTGCATTTGGGATTGGGAACATAATACGGGAGTTAGTAGGAGGGGCTAAATCGGGGTTCTTGGTTGGGTTTTCTTAGCTCCGATTACTGACTGATGATCGTGGGTTCATGCTTCCATTTTTGTAATGGGGAGGGGTGTGTGTGTGAATTTTTTTTTTTAACTGTAAGGAGAAAGGTGTTGGTGGATATAACAGTAAGATGTCGCTTTAACCCAGTATTAGAAAACATGATTTCCTTTGCTGAGAAAGAGCACAAGATTTGGAGGGAGAGTGGGGAGGGGAGAAGCACTTTGGAATATAAGATTTATTAAACTCAGCCTAAGCAGATTCTTGTCAGGCTGATCATAGTGCTGGTTTTGGGGGAGTGGTGGTGGGAGGGGAAACAAACTTTAAAAATTAGATAGAACTAACTTGAATTGTATATAGCTTATTTGAGAAAGGCAGATGTTAGATACTTGTAAATTAAAGTCTTTAACATTTTGGTTTTCGTTTGCTGAATTCTGTTCTTTGGACAGAGGCACCAAAATGATTAAAAGTATAACTTGCTGTTTGGGGCAGGCTGTTAGCCCTGATAAATCACAAAGCAGCTGACTTTATAGTTTACCTACTGTTGAACTGAAGTGTAAATGAATTAAAGTTTTTAACCCTAACAGTGTCAAAAACTAAAACTAGAATTTTGATTGGTTGCTGTACCGGTTGTTAATTCCCTAGCCATTCAAACTCCTCCCCACGACACACTGAAGCAGCGACGGCACAGCGGGAAGAATGGTAAAACTTTTAAATTTTATTTCTGTATTATAAAGGTTTCAGTAGTCATAACATGCAGAGGTTATGTATTGGTTAGTTGCCCATTGATCCCCAGGACATTCTAGACGATAGTACAGTAGGCTTGTACCTGGGATATATACCTTTTTAGGCATCAGATATAATCTTTGGGCAAAATTGATGCCGTTACATGGTATTTGGTCTGTGGTAATGCATGTAGTTGCAGTTTGCCGATTTAAGCTAAACATAATTAGTAACGATATTTTTATATCTGAGTAAGAAAAAATATTACTGTAATCTCCACATTTGATTTTAAGATGAAAAATATTTTTGTTGGATTTCTAAGATTAATGCTAAATGTGAAGACTACTTGATATAAAATGTGTTTAAGATGTCATGCATGTTATACTGAAATATTCTGGAGATGTCTGAAGCAGTTCTTTAAGCAGCACTGTGTATTATGCAAAAATGCTTGTCTTTTATTAGCTACCATATTTGTAACTAGACCTTTAATAAAAATTGTGTGTGTGTAGATATATATATATAATACCATTCAAAGGTGGGCTAATGTGGCTTTCCACTACAGCTCTTACCAGATTTTTTATTTTCAGTGTGATTTGGCTGGAATATTAATTACAGTTGGTTGACATGTATTCACAATTGCATGACTTCTCTTTGGAGGCTGGTAGGTTGAGTATTGTTCTTTTTATCCACCCTTTCCCCTTCCCTAAATGTCAGTCCTTCTGCCTTTAGGATTATATTTGAATTTTCAGGGGTTTAAACACCACCACTGGAGATTAGAGGGCCACTAACTTGCAGACAGTTGTCTTATATCTTTACAAGCTACATTCTAAGAGTCCACTTAGGGTAATATTTAAAGATTTGCTTATTACTGTATTCTTATCCACTGAAATCAGTCCAGCTTTACGTTGGAGAGAAAGCAGACTGGAAACAGTAGGCAAGGGGAAAAGCAGAAAAGAAAACACTGGGGTCACAGTTTAGATGAGTGTTATTCTCATATTTGGTGAGTGTTGAGCACTTAACAGCTCAATTTCACTGCTAGCTAATAATGGCAAATTAAGATTAAACTATAAGTGTATTTGATATTACTCCATTAAATATTTTGAATCTCATGTATGTAATTGTTTCCAGTAATCTGAAATGACGATAAACTTAGATTTGAAGATCAGTGTTTTCACTCTTTAAAAATAATTACACTTGCCCTGCTACCTAAAACAGGTAATACAATCCAACTTTTTTGAACGATTAGGAAAAATGGACAAATATTTATATTAATAGTTAACAAATGTTTTAGATAGTCCCAGTTGTCATTTACTGAAAATAAAATTTTACCCAGGTTGACTTTAAAATTACGCATTAAAATAATGTAAGTCTCATTTTTAAGGGGTCTGACATTTGACTTTTAACTGTTTAATCATGCAGCCCCATCCTGTTATAGACATGAAGGCTTTCTTTTTGAATGAAAAACCTCCAGACCTAAATTTTCGTGTATGTGTGTATCTCTACACTTGCCACTCTATCTGTCCCTTTCTTTGTCCCATTTTGAGGGATAGTATATGGCGACAGTTATATAGTGTCAATAGTGGGTATTAGACTGGTTAATATATACAGTATCTAAATTGAATTTCTTAAACGCAGTTTTGTGTGCATTTCCTTCTACAAATCTGAGAATAAAGTGATTACGATTTCATCCTAAAATACTTAAAAAATCAGTTGGTTTTAGAATCAGTTTTTTTCCTTTTGCATGTAAGAATGGACAGCTATTTTTAGGGAGGCATGCCTGTTATACCTCTAGTGGCTGTTTCTATAGTTTACTATGGGACTTATTAGAATAAGTAATTATTTCCATAGTATGACTTCATGAGTTACTCTTTCCAACATTAACATCCGTAGTTTTTACTTAAAAGCATTGGAATTTCTCATTTTACTTTGTGGTGTGGACACATTCCGTTCTCTGCAGTGCTGCAGTTCATTTGGGGTAGGTACTTTAAAATTACTTAGTGCTGCAGTTCATTTGGGGTAGGTACTTTAAAATTACTTAGTGTCTGGCAAAATATACATGCCATGTAGCAAGTTATCTAGGGGCAGAGTTTTTAAAATCTAAAAATTAGTGGAACCTACAGTGTTGCGTTAACCTTGAGGTAGTTTTATAAGGTAGGTACGGTGACTTTCCTGCATTGGATTGGGTAGGAAGCAAAATAGTCCCCCATTCACTTAGCCAAAGTCTAGCAATATTTTAATTGCAGGACAGTACATCTGGTCCTTTTAATGGTTGATGTATAATGAGCTCAAGTGTGATTCTTCCTATTTGGGAATTTGTGAATCCTGCTGTAGTTTGTCCCGTTTAATGATAAAAGACTAGGCTCGTATTTTTGCTTTAAATGTTTGAGATTATGGTCTTATACCTTAGTGTTTCTGGGGCAATCTGAACATTGTTTGTAAAATAATTACTTTTAGAGTAGTCTCATGCCAAATTTACTGGCCTTGATTCAGTACAGTTGGGTTTACTGTATGTAGTAAAGTTGAGACCCTGAGTAGATTGGTCTCACTCAGCATTAGCATTCTTGGAAGGCTTTGACAAATTTCCTGAGTTAAAAATTCCAGAAATTGATGCTTTCAGATCTTGAGATGAACATTTAAGGGAGGAGTATTAAATACTTTTCATTGTAAATTTTTATCTATTATGAAAGATACTAAAAATCCGATAACTTTTAAGTTTGGAATTGGAGAATGTCATTGAAATTTTTCAGTGCTTGTTTTTGAGATACACATACTTTGCTTTAAATCAGGGGTTTTTCCATGTGACCCTTTCCAGAAACTCAGTGTATCTTTTTAATATTCCTAGGTACTCTGCCATCTGTCCTAAAACATAATGTTAGGGTAAGGCTGCTCTAGTACAAGAACATTTGAGGCTACTATTCGGGGTGTGATTTATGGCCAACATGAAGGATGTGATTAGTTTTAGCCTTCAAGTGATAATACATACCATGCTTGAAAGCATTTAAAAAGGAATAGAGTAATAACTTTTTTCCCATTCCACTTGAAGCTGTACACTTCAAGTGTGTGCACATTTACAAATGGAGTGAAATGTAACTTATGTTAGTCCAAGCTTGATTTGACTTCAGTTCTGCTTCAACATTTTAGTAGATAGGGTCACTGAACTGGATGCTGAAAGCCTGGGATCTCTTTCTGTTGCTTCATTTTCAACAGTGTGGTTTCAGGTAATACAACATGTTTGTTATTTGGTTTGCCGATCTGTGTGTTGGAAACAGTGTTCACCACAGGAAGATTGACTACATAGCCTGCTTTCATAGCTTGTGTGTATTTATCCAGTGCCCTAATAGTTGATACTGCCAGTGATTTACTCCTGTGGAGTAAAGGTAAGCATGTTTTAGTTTCTGGAGTATTTTATTGTACATTGGAGCTAGGTATTTAAGACTATTTGGGGGTGGGGAGGGAAGACTCCTGTTTACTGGTGGTGCTTGGCCAATAATCAAGGTGTTTAAGTATTGGGTCGTGCACTGTAAACTCCTGCTTATCTAGACTTCAGACTACTACAGAGCCCACGCAGCCAGGAAGTCTGTCTCCCCATTTAGTCTTAGGAGAAAGAAGGATGAAGCCGTGTGAAAATATACTTAAAAAGCAACCAACAGACAATGTCATGGAATGAATCTCCTACAGATTTTTCCTTAAACTTTTGAAAAGTAACGTGATTTTAAAACATTGGAAAATTAAAAATTCTTCAAGGGAAAAATTATTTTCTGACTTCAGCACTGATACCTAAATTGATTTCCAATAGACGATTTTATAGAATTGTGAATATGTAGTAATCTCAGTTAACCAGAACCTTAACCTTTAGGTTAAGGAAAATACTTATTCCTTAACCTCTAGGTAAATGGGAGTTTACCTTACAAAGCTGATTGAGAGCTTACTTAAAACGTAACCATACAAGATGTCATTGGTTCCTTGTAATGAAATGAAAAAGGAGATGTTGGATTAAACATTTAAAGGTAATTAAAAACATGGCAGCTTGTGCCTGTAATCACTATCAGAAGTCGGAGGTGTGAGGATCATTTCAGGCCAGGCTTTCTAGACCCACTAGGCAACATAATAAGACCCCTGTGTAAAAAAAAAAAAAAAAATTAGCTGAGTGTGTTGGGGGTGAGGGTGTGTGTGCCTGTAGTTTTAGCTACTCAGGAAGTGGAGGCGGGAGAATCTGTTGAACCCAGGAAGGAGCTCAGGGATGCAGGAAGCTATGATGGAGCCACTGCGCTCTGATAGTGAGACCTGGTCTGTTAAATGTTTACTAATTTTAGGCCAGTTGTGCCAGCGCCTGTAATCTTAGCACTTTGGGAGGCCAAGGTGGGTGGATCACCTGAGGTCAGGAGTTACAGACCAGCCTGGCCACCATGGCGAAACCCCATCTCTACTAAAAATACAAAAATTAGCCAGACGTGGTGGCACATTCCTGTAGTTCCCATTACTCAGGAGGCTGAGGTGGGAGAATCGCTTGAACCCTTGAGGTTGCAGTGAGACAAGATTGTGCGACTGCATTCCAGCCTGGGTGGCACAGCAAGACTGTGTCTCAAAAAAAAAAAAAATTTTTTTTTTATTTAAAAAACTGTCATGTTGACTGGGCGTGGTGGCTCACACCTGTAATCCCAGCACTTTGGGAGGCTGAGATGGATCACCTGAGATCGGGAGTTTGAGACTAACCTGGCCAACATGGTGTAAAACCCCATCTCTATTAAAAATGTGAAAATTAGCTGGGCGTGTCGTGGGCACCTATAATCCCAGCTCCTTGGGAGGCTCAGGCAGGATAATAACTTGAAACCTGGGAAATAGAGGTTGCAGTGAGCTGAAATTGCGCCATTGCACTCCAGCCTGGGCGGCAGCCTGGACTCCATCCTCCCCCCCAAAAAAACTGTCATATTTCATTTATTAGATGTTTATGTTTTCAGCTTCACTTTTTTATAGTCATT